TCCCTACACACCTCAAGTACCATCTCCTGGAGCCTCTGGCATGAGCAGGAGCAGTTAGTCTGCACTGAAGTCATAGAAACACACACACCAGTTGCCAGGGATAGCTCAAGGGTTTCTATCCTCAGCAGAACTAGTGCAAACATCCTGCTCTGTGCCCTTAACACCACAACACCCAAAGTCACACTCCCAAATGAAACTGAAGAGAGGAACTGACAGAGGACACTGGTGGTAAATATAAATCAGTGTGCAAAAGCAGTTTTAGACCAACAGAACTGATCTGCTGAGGAATTGCCATGAATATTTCCTCAACCAGCAATCAATTTTACCCTTGGTTCCTCAGTTCACTCCTTCCTTTACTCTAGGGTGAACATTAATGCCTATGTCAACAGCAGACCCCTCACCAGAGAGGGCTCTCACAGCTCAGCTGCAGCTTCTGTCTGCTCTTCTGCTGTCACAAAGTCCTGCAGCCTTTTGTGCTGTGAGGTACCTGTGCAGATGAGCTGATCCTGGAAGTATCCCTTCCCACAGGAGGTCACACACTGCCCATCCTTCAGCAGCAGGGACGCCTGGCACGCGGAGCACTCGAACCCACTGGTACAGGCTGAGCAGGTCTCATTGCAGGCTTCAAGAGAAAGGGAGGAGAGAGAGGCATCAATCCCAAATGTCCTGGTGCAACAAGACTCTCCTGCTCTGATGAAACGAGACAATTTTGCCTCATTTTGAGAATTTGGGAATGTATTTTTCAGGAGCTTCCAGCTGAAACCTCCTGAAGCCTCATGGCTGCTACTCAGCATGTGCCTGAATGCTCTTCCAAACAAAGCCTGGCAATCTCTTTAGCACAGGTCCATAATATCCTAAGGAGTTGGAATGGAGCTTAGATGCCCCAACCTCCTGCCCTGGGCAGGGACACCTCCCACCAGAGCAGGTTGCTCAGGGCTCATCCAACCTGGCTGTGAACACTGCCAGGGCTGGGGAAGCCACAGCCTCTCTGGGCAACCTGGGCCAGGGTCTCACCAGCCTCACAGGGAAAACTTCTGCCTGATATCTAACCAAAATCTCCCCTCTTTCAATTTCTACCCTTTACTACTAAACCCTTGGGATCCCACAAGCAAAAGCACAGCATGCAGCAGGGGAGTCACCTGCCAGGGCCTAAGCCCTTGCAGAATTACCTAGGCAGGTGTCCCCATCCTGGTAGAAGCCCAGGGCACACATCTCCACACAGTGCCCACTCTGCAGCAGCTTCTTCGGGTCGTGGCAGGAGTCACAATGATCAGGGCCCTGAGAGCAGCTCACACAGTCTGGGTGGCACTCACCTGGCACAGAGGGAAAACCACAGCAGTGTTTGCAGCCAGGAAGGCACAAAACAATACAATTCTCAAATCAAAGTGAAATTCATCACTTATTTCTGTGGTGTGTTAGTTTTGGAGTGGGTTTTTTCTACATGAGATAATATCAAAGGGGCTAAACATTTTATTTCTCTATTTAGTAGGTGAGAAGTTGTTTTATGGACTCAGGTTTCCTAGACTGGTGATTAAAAGGGTATTCATGGTCCACATGGTTTCTCAGCAGTAAAAGCAGTAAGTTATCAGGGATTAATGGTCTGAAACAACATGACTCTGAGTTTCCTTCAGTCAAACCCTGCAGGAAGTCAAGGCTGTGTCCATGCCAGCTCAGAGTACAGGTGACCACTTCCCCTCCAGTCAAAACCTTTAAGTCACAGCACCACAGAAGTATTTCCTGAGCACAGGTACTTGGAGAGGTACAGAATGGACAATTTTTCTCTGGGTATGAAATCCCCTGTGCTCCAAGCCAAGCGTTCTCACAGCAATGCCCAGGGCTCTATGCTCTTCCCTGGCTGAGGAGGAATGGGTTGCCCCAGTGCAGCTGTGAGAAGCAGCAATCAGTTTTTGCTGGATTTAAGGAAGGAGAAGTGGCAGGGGCTGATGTTCTGAGCTCGCAGACTGCACTGCTGCAGCTGCATTCTGCACTTGTTTCTCATCCCCTCCACTGCAAGAGAGAATAACCCGAGGAGGTTTGGGGAAAGGACATTTCCCAGACACAAAAAATGCAAGATTTTCAGGGGAAACCAGTGGCACTTCTTGCTAAGGAGGAGAATGGAGAGGTGCTGAGAGCACTGTATCATCTCTCCCCTCTCAGCAGCTTGTGCAGATGTTGTTCCCTTTCAAAAATCCAGGACAATTTCATCTGAACTGTCCCAAGCCAGTTTCCCTCCCTTTTCAATTTGCAGTGCTTTGCCTTTTCATGAGCATGCAGTAAATAACAAGCTTTAAACCATGCAGATGGCAGATGTGCTCAGGCACTCCTGGAAAACACAGTACAATTAAACTGTAAAGCTATTTTCTTGTTCTTGTGATAAAACATTAACTGGAGCACTCTGATAAAACTAGAGTTATGTGCATTCAACAGGGAGAGCTCCCAACATGGAAAACTAGCAGCCCACAGCTAAAGCCTCCCAACTAGGAAATATAAATCCAGGGGCGTGACAACATCCTGGAGAAAAAGGAATTTATATGCAAAATGAACATATAGGTTAAGGCTATCCTAATCCTTCCAAACAATTATTAACTGGCAGCTACTCAGTCTCAGATGAGCTTGGGGCATAAAAGTGTAAGCAGCTCCTTTCTTCTTTCCACTCCCAGGAAATAATCAGGAGCCCATAAAGTCCAAACCCCACGTCAGGATACAGAAAGGAGCAGTTAGAAAACTCATGTTGAAGCAAGAAGAAGGCAGCAAAACATTTCCAGAACACCAACCCCAAGAAGCTAAACCAGTCACTACAGTGTTCGCCAGGGCTCAGTGTTGGGGCAGGTTTAACACCTTTACTGATGACCTGCACATGGGGATATTGCTCAGGGAGGTGGTGGAGTCACCATCCCTGGAGGTGTTTAAAAGGTGTCTGGATCTGACACTGGAGGATCTGGTTTAGGGGTTCCAGCAGTGACAGGTCAATGGTTGGACTCGATGATCTTAGAGGTCTCCTCCAACTTTAGTGATTCTACGCTCCTCTGCCAAAAGAAAGCTGCCATTTAAACCAGGGGAAGGCAGTGGGAGCCTTAAACCTCTCTGAGAACTAAACTATATGGAAACCAGTTAAGTGGCAGCTGAAAAGCTAAGAGGAGATGGAATCCAACACAGGTGTGGGAGTGCTGTGGGGACAGCAGAGCCAGCAGGAGGGTGAGGAGGCCTGGGCTGGCCGTGTACCTGGCTGGCAGTGGGGACAGCAGTGCCCCTGGAGCTGCAGAGCCGTGCTGCCCGGCGGGCAGGGCGGGCAGGAGCGCTGGAAACAGGTCACCTCCGCGTCGTGGCACTCGCACTCTCGGCACGGTCCTTCCACCCACGTCTCTCCATCCTGCACAGGAACACCAGGCAGCTGCCATCAGGGGCCTTGGCACACGGTGGGCTTGCCATGCACAGAAATCTCTGGGTGAAGTGCAAGTCCTTTCTACATCTTCACCTCTCTTTGTTTTCTCAGGTTCAAAGCACTTCCTCTTGTCTCCCAAATCCAGCTGCCTCACTTGTCCTCCTCTTTTTCACAGATCCTGCGTGGACCTGCTCTGTGTCTGAACAGAGAGCTACACCCATAACTTGTCCTTCTGAATCTACAGCTTTGCATAATGACCTCTTTGGTCACACTTGAAACCTCTTTCTAAGCTTCACAGCATTTTATTTCCTCTCCTCCTCTCTTTGCCATCACTGGATGAACCACCACAGGGATGAAGAGGTAGACAGAAAAGAGACAGCAAGTATTTTAAATGCTCATGAAGCTTTTCTGCCAGTTCCTCTTTTAGAGAGGATAAAGCACAACCTGGAATAAACATGACACCTTAATGTGTGACCTCAGCTGGGTCAGAGAAGGAGATGTGAGCAAAGAAAGGGAAGTACAGCCTCAAAAACAGTATTAAACCTCCCATTTCCCACATCTGTTGGCAAACAGCAGCTGTCAGCTCCAGCCCTTATCTCTCAGGGCTGTGGAAAGTCCATAATTGGTATATTTAAACCAAGATACCTAATGCATCTTGGAATTATCTCAATGAATCAGAGGAAAATTCCTTGAAAATAATAATGGGCTCTTGCTGCAGTAAGATTGCAATCAGTGGGATACATAGGCAGAAAGCTCTGTACCTTCTGCTTCATAGGATTAAACCCAAGTGTTTATAACTGCATGAAATGTGCAGGAAACCTATGAGTAGGGATATTAAATATTAAGGGGAAATGATTGATTGCATTGCACAAAGGAGAGCAAGGGTCACCTGGAATCCTGCAGCACCGTAAACAAATGCTTCTGTAAATTGTAAAAGCAATCTGCAGGCAACACTTGGATAATATAGTGCAATACAATATAGCAATGGATTATTTTTCTGGTACACTTATGAGATCCTTCTCAGAATGGAGCGGGAGAGCCAATCCCTCCAAACCCCTAGGAGCAGAGCTCACTATTCCACACTCCAGGTACCAGGATACTCACAGCTTTGGTATGTCCTTTGTAAACACAGTGACTCTGACTGGAGATACATTCAGGACAGCACTTCCCCTCTAAGTGAATTAATTTTTCCCCCTGTGAAGAGAAAGGCAGAAGCAATTCAGACTGAATCAACACGGCCAGAACCTCTGTGGAATGCAGAGGCAGAACAGCTCTTGCCCTGGAATGCAATCTCCCAATATCTAATTTCACCTTATCTTCTCTCTGTCCCACTTCAGCTCTGCAGGTACAGCTGGGAAAACGTGCTTAGTGAACATTGCAGTTGCAGAACAAACCTCAGGATTCAGTGATAAAGCCATGACTTCATCCCTAAATCCCACAGAGAGAGACCCCCTGGTTCTTCCCGTGGCACACTAGGGATTTCCTGGACCACACTCAGGATTTCAATGCACAGAATCTTACCGTCATTTTCAACATTCTACATTTTTCCCCCTCCAAGAGAATTTGAAAGCACATGCTCTATTTATCCCAGATGGAAAAAGCCTGTTCTTTGTCACAGCTCTGCAAATTCCACTTAAATAACTTCAGTTGGAAGATAAGAATTTAGCAGCAGGAGAAGGGAATGAAGTGCCCCAATTCACCACAACTCTTTGTGCCCAGGGGGAAGCTGAGGATTTAGAAAAGAGGCAGACTCAGGGAACCAGGACACAGCTCACTCCAGGACAACTTTCCCTGTGCCACATTGGCACACTCTGTTTTTGTATGGGAATTAGTTTGGACACAGACAGGGCAACAACAGCACCAGTCAGTGTTTGACCAGGGGAGAACACCTAAGCCACACTGTGCCAACCCTTGTGCATTCCTGAGAGCAGGAACCATCTGGCTCTTAGTCCTGGAGGACCACACACAGCCTAAATCCCTCTCTGCTGCTTCTCTACATTTTGGTTCTTAAATCACGATTCCAAAACACCTTTGGATCTCATGTCACTACTCTGTACTCTCCCATGCCCATCCCCACCCACATCCATAAACACACATTTTGTAGGAAAACTGAGAGCAACTCTCCATGGAACATGGTTTGCCTGGCCAGAAAAATGCTCTGCCAAGAGGCTATGGGAGATAACTTCAAAGACAGATTCATCATATTC